ACATTTTCATGATCTGAAGGGAAATGAGATGCATGGAGTGGTTAAACTGATACAGATTTTAAAGCTTATGAAAATTTATGCTTTTTAATAAAATACAATAGTCAAAAGGATACTACCAAACTCCTTCTGAGTTGTCTGCAATAGACTAACACTGCTATCCAAAGTTTTGTATCTACTTCTATTCTGTAATAATAATTTTAAATATGAGGTTCCAATGAGGAACAGATCGCCCCACCTGACCTGGCATTCCAGCCACATCAGACCTAGGAATTATGACTAGCCTCAGAGGGCCCCCTGGTCTGCGGATCCACACAGAGAGGCTGAGCTCCAGGCTCCGCCTTGCATGGAGTCACTGCAACTGCCGCGAAAACAGCAGGTCGAATGGGAGCTGCTCAGGGCTTGGTCCCAGGGCATGCCATCTGTGCTGTCTGACATTCTGTTGGGGGAGAGGGGCAGTTGGCGGCTAAAGGATCATTCCCAGTGGGCAGATACCCAGAAGAGTTGGAATCCTCCAGGACCTGTTCTGTGGGCAGCTCTTGAGAGACCAGGCCAGTTCCCACAAAAGGGGGGGGGCTGGTCTATATGGCTCCACATTGCCACATTAGGGACTTTGTGGTGTGGGATTCCAACCAGACTGAAGGGATGACCCTGGGTGCTTTGGGTGGAGCCCCAGTACTCGATGTAGGTTGGGTACCCGGAAGAAACAAATAATAATTTTAAATATATAGGTATATTATGCATGTTGACGAAGGGTGACATGATAGCAGTGTTCCAATATCTCAGGAGTCACCACAAAGAAGAGGGAGTCAAGCTATTCTCCAAAGTGCCTGAAGGCAGGATAAGAAGCAATGGATGGAAATTAACCAAGGAGAGAAGCAACCTAGAACTAAGGAGAAACTTCCTGACAGTTAGAACAATTAACCAGTGGAACAACTTGCCTCCAGAAGCGATGAATGATCCAACACAGGAAGTTTTTAAGAAGAGACTGGACAGCCATTTGTCGGAAATGGTGTAGGGTTTCCTGCCTGAGCAGGGGGTTGGACCCGATGACCTCCAAGGTCCCTTCCAACTTTATTATTATTATTATTATTATTATTATTGTTGTTGTTGTTGTTGTTGTTGTTGTTGTTGTTGTTATGTAACACTTTAAAACAAGGAAACAATCAAATAACAATAAAGGCATAAAGATAAAGGCCAAAACCTTTCTGGGAACAAAGAAAGAGGTGCTTCAATCATTCTCACCAAATGTTTGGGCAGAGAGCCAGGTCTTTAAGGTCCTTTGAAATACCAGAAGTGTGAGGGCTTAAGGAGAAACCTGATTTCAGAGGGCAGAAGCTGCTACTTTATCTCCCTTTGCTTAGACTCTACAGATTATTGATTGCTGGCTCTGATACACAGATGTCAGCCTAATATAACAAACACTTCTCACAAATCCTTACTTAATTATCTTAATCCTTCTTTTTACTTCAATATGGGGTTCTTACCGTAGCAACATACATGCTAAATTACTTCAGCTTAATAACCTTAAAAGAAGAAAACTGGAGAACAATTGGTGACAAAATCATTACTTGCATTGGTATAACTCTTTCACCTGGGGATTTAGCCATGTGGACAACCCAGGACTTAGGCAGAGAGAGTGTGAGGGTGGAGGTCCCAGCAGTGCAGGTGAGCATCAGTGAGACACTTTCTCCTGCCTGCTACAAATCATCAAAAGACAAATTTACGATATATGTTTTTAATTTATAACTAAAAACCATTGTAAAAGAACTTTTTTGATGTAACACATTTGATATGGAGCTGATGATTTTAGTCTGATAAATTTCACTTTTATGATTAATGGTTCTGTTATCTTCCCTTTCCAAATATAATAACCTTGCATTTAGGAACTGCATAGGATTGGGAAAGCTTAGCAAACTGAGTTTCATCTTCAAATCACCAGTTCTCAAAAAGTGAGAACTCAGAGCACCAAATTAAATTTAGCTCATTCACAATGAATATAACATCATATTAGGTAGCTACTTTAAAAAAGACAGTAAGAATCCCCCAGCTTTATTTTGAAGATCCACATATTTTACAATCAGCAGTTTTGTCTACATTTATTTTTGAATACTTAAAGCAGCAATGAACCAAATTATTACTTATTGAATGCCACATTGGAATATGCTAAGAAAAAGTCAGGAATTTTTAAACGTAATATAAGGGGCAGTTTCAATCATTACTGAAACAGAGATGCAGTTTATTCATCCTATAGAACAGAGAACCCCAATCTTTCCAGCTTGTGGGGGGAGGGGGAAGAGGGGATGGTTCCGTGTGACCTGTCAGCAAGCACACATGCAGCTCCATTTGCGCGAATGACATGCACGTGCGCCTGTTGGTCATGCAACTGGAGTTCATGTGCACATGCTTGCCTGCTGCTCATGCAACTGTGGTTGCGCATGCATGCGCTCACCTGCCATTTTCACAGCAAATAGCTCACAGCCCACCAGTGGGCTGTGGCCCAGAGGTTAGGGAGCCCTACTATAGGATATTTGTTATTCTCTGTAAGCAATGTATGTTCTATTTATCTTGCTACCAGTAATAAATGGATAACAGAAATATAGGAAAGTTTAGCTAATATAGTAGATTTCCTTCCCTTCATTATTATCGCTGTCCACTTAAACTGAAAAGTCAGCTTGGGCAATGCTTAATAGTCTTTTCATATAGTACATCATTGACTATATATTATACAGCAGGGCAAAAATCATCACAGTTTGAAATTATGTATCACGTATATCTTTCTCTGTTATTTGCATCAAATGATTTGCTGAGGCAGAATAAACTTTAATAGAGTGTAAATCATCATATTGGGTCCAAGTAACTTTAATTTTGTTAAAAGATTAAAATCAGCCATTAATCTTTATTTACTGACACAAATCAGACATGTGAACTAAGCCATCAATTTCTCAACAGAAGAATCCATAATATTGAAGTTAAATAGATATTTCTGTTTCAACTGCTTAGTCATCAAAATACAACACTCATAATACATTAATTCTTTATTGTCAGCAATACCAAATTTGTAGCAATTTGAGAGGAATGCTATGAAAAGCCGTAACAGTTATTCTTTTCAAATTATGTTTTTGGAATAATAAAGATTGTATTACATGATACATTTTTGCCTGAAACCAGACATTAAGATATTTCAGGCATAACAAATAAATTGCTCAATAAGTTTATCATCAGTGAAGATAATTGCTGGTTTAAGTATAAAGACAACATTAGCAAGATCAAGTTATTATTCTTTTAATTTCTCCCATAACTATCTTTATGCACATTAGAGAACAAAAGCATAATAAAATCCAAAAGAAAACAGAGAAAAGAACATCCAACATCAACTGTAATATTCTTAGAAAACGTGAGATTTAAAAGCCTTTGCTTTGCGTTAGAAAGATAACTGGAGGCCCTTGTTTTACCTCCGTCCCTCTCCAACTTCATTAACAATGGCTTAAGATTTTGACTTACAAACATGTATATTCAGAAGGAGAGATTTATTTAGATACCTGGCCCCTGGCCATTCCATCTTAAAAGGCCCCTCCACCCATTAGGAATAGTTCTGGTTATGTCCTGGGACCCAATGATATCTCTGACTGAAGAGTGTCTTAATTGTTACATCTGCCTAAACTAGCAAACATTTAGACGTTAAAAAACCCACACTCGTGAATTTCTTACTGCTCAAAACAAGTTTATTGACTTTCCAACCGGATGTTGTAATGTGTTTCATCTCTCCTAGTACAGTGCCTTTTACTTTTGAGATACATGTTTAGGATATTAAGATATAATGTAAGAAGGAGACTTTAATAGTTACTCTAACGTTAGGAATCACGAAAAACAAAAAGGCTATTTCCCTGCATGTTAAAAATATGAATGTCAAATATTGTACAATGGGGTGGTTGGAATATTAATACTCAGTATGATACTAAGGGTACAATTCTGGGGAGATGGTTTAAGTGTTTGTGAAAAAACATGAGACTGAAAATCATGGAAGAACTATAAATTGTACCTAAACTAACAACCTCAAGGAAGAAATTTCTAAGATATCCAAGCCTGCCTAAAATAGGAATGGCATTAATTGCATCCACCTACTGAACTGCCATATGTAGGAAGCATGAAGACCAAGATTAGAAAAATGAAAGCATAGAGATGTGTCTCCAACAGAGAAGACTGTTTGGAATTTAGTAGAATCAAATCAATTTTCTGGTATTACAAATGCTCTCCTTTGAACTCAGAGCAAATTTCATCCTTATAAAGGAAACATAAAATAAAAATGAATAATAGGACAATAACATCTAGCTTTAATCCTTTTTATGTTAACATAAAAACAATTTTGCTTTTGACTGGTGTGAATGTAAGATTCTTTCACATTTTTAGGACCATTACTGATTTAGTTACTGTTTTTACATATAGACTTATAACATTTTATGCCTTTTTTACATATAGTTATTTTACTTGACTAAAGTGAACAGTTCCCAATTAAGAAAGGTATACCAGCATGTTTGATATAAGATCATGCATTTCTACATTACAAATGAACCAATGGTACTGTAAGTTTGACTGTAATACACTGTTACTTTACATGGAGTGACAGAAAAAATAAATAAATGGATGAGCACATGCATATATGTATATATATGAAGTGAGAAAGAAATTTATTGCTCAATGCTCAACGCCTCATTAATTTGCCCATTCTCCAAATTATTAAACAATCCCATTGTAAATGATCTACAGTATTAATGACATGACAAAGTCATGTTCTATGCATCTTCAGCAAATTAACAATCAAGGGAAGAATGCTAGACAGCAAGGTAAAGATAAATAGAGCACTTTGTTGGAATTATTGATGAATTTACAATTTCAAAATTTTCCACATGTGAATTCAGTCACTTTATTTGTAACAGCTAATTATCATTTAAAGCAATGTACCTACCCAGGCAAGAAGCAAGACAACCTGCATTTCCACTTACCTGTGCTAGTGCGATATGTGCCTGTATGTGCTGGTTGAAGAGGGTCTCCCTGACTCTGGCTGAGACTCCTCATAGGGGGCTTCTGATACACTCTGTCCTCATAAATAGGATCTATGTGATGCTCTGGAGATTGTAGTGCCCTTAGTTCTGAGCCCAGGTGGCTGTGCTGACTTGTGTATGAAGCCCGGGATCCAGCTGCAAAATAAAGCAATATCAGAAACTTTATGAGAAATAAATAAATAAATAAAAGCACCTATAAAGAGAGATATTCTTAAAATATTCTTTTTTTAAATTTTATTTTAGACCAACTAAACAGAACAAAACACAACAAAACATTACACACATACACACGTAATATATCCTTTTTTGTTAACAGCAATTTGTAACAGTACTCTTCTATTATTTACATTTCCCCCCTCATTCTTCTTTGAAATATTTGTCCTTATTGCCCCATTGTTTCTTATTTACATTTTCCTTCTTTCATATTCTACTACTTACTAGGAATAATTCATATTATTATTATTATACATTATTATACACATATCGCCTCTACCAACACCTCATTTTAAATTTCCAACATTATTCATTGTAGTAACTCTCGTATTTTTTATAAGACTCGACCTGGATTCTATCTAGGCCTGGTGACCATACAAATATTCTCATAGTCCAAATCCACTAGCTTCTTATATACCTTATTTTTTAAAAAAGATTCACATTAATTATTATTTAGTGCATATACTGTTTTTACTCTAATACTATTTCCAACATTAAAATTCACCCCTTTTCATCCAAGTACCGTAAATGCCGGCGTACAAGGCGACCCGGCGTATAAGACGACCCCCGTCTTTATAGCCGGGCCGCATTCCTAGAATGTCGTCTTATACGCCGGAAACTACCAGTATTTCCGGCGTATAAGACGACTCGGCGTATAAGACGACCCCCGTCTTTGGCGCCGATTTCAGCGCTCACGGAAGTCGCCTTATACGCCGGCATTTACGGTATATTGATTTGATTTTTTCTTTGACATATATAATAATTCCTCCTTTCTTGTTTTATGCTAATGTTGTGTATAATGTTTCTAAATTTTTACTTTCTCTAGTAATTTTCTATAATCCTATTTTATATAAACTTCCTAAAGATCACATCTATATCCAATTTCCTTAAATTGTTAAACATTTAAACTCTTTTTCTTGATATATTTAAACCATTAATGTTTACAGAAAAGAGCTTAATTATGTCTCCCATTTTTAACTTGATCTATTTTTTTGTTTTTATTTTGTTTTATACTTCTTGTCTCTATAAGTCTTCCTTTTTTTTGCTTCTCTTTCTAACCTTTCTCTTTCTTGTAACTTTTGTATTTCTCACTCTCGATCAACTTCCTCTAATAAATCTTCATCATAACTTTTACTCTCCGGCTCTTCCCTACTTTCTTGTTCTTCTCCTTGTGAAAAGTAACTCTCATAAAAGTCTTGTGCTTTCTCAAGTGTATCTATCTTGTATTTTTTTCCTGCCAAGTTAAAAGTATGCCTTCAGGTATTAACCAACGAAACATGACTTTATATTTAATTAATTGGGTCGTTAAAAATTGGTATTCTCGTCTCTGATTTCGTATACTACGTGGTATTTGTTTTAATACAATTATTTCTTTACCCTTATATATTATTGGTTCATCTCTTTTTTTTTACGTATTTCATCCCTTATTGATCTTCTAGTAAACCTTATATGGACCTCTCTCGCCAATCTATGCCTTCGTGCATAATTTGTATATACTCTATATATTTCATCTATGTCTCTTTTTACTTCCAGGTTTTTTTTTTGCCTAAAAACTCCGCCAACATCTCTGCCATCTTTTCTCCCAAATCTTCCTCCTTTTCCTCTACAATATTTTGAAATCTTAGAAAGAACGAAGCTTTGTTCATTTCCAGAAAAGCAATAGATTCAGTCAACTCCCTATTTGCCTGCTCAGATTTCTGTATCATCCCTTCTATTTTACTATCAACAAGCTCCATTTTTGTTTCGACTTTTTGAATTCTTTGTTCATTTTCCATCATTGTTTGTTGTATATTACCTATTTTATCATTCATATTTTTAATTTCATCTCTTTAATTTCATTTCCCAATATCATTCTTAATTTCTTTATGATGTATTTTCATTTCTTCATGATTATTTGCTATTGCCTCTTGGGTCATCATCATTGTTTCTTGAATCGTTTGTAGTGTTATCTGCAAACTCTGTGGGTTCATTGCCAATTCTACTTTTTCTTTTTCTTTCTCCAACATGATTCTTTGGCCTGAAGGAGAGGCCGTTGTAATTGTGGGATTTGTAACTGTTTTTTTGCTAACTTTAGTTGTAGTTACAGTACTTGTCATTTTTATTACTTGAATAATATTTCTCCACTTTTGCATAAAGAATATATATAATACTTCTAACTATAAATCAATATATATGACTATAATATCATGGTATAACATTAACGTTAACTAAAATTACAAGTAAAGTTGTACCTTTCCTTATCCCACTATTTATCTAGTACATTTTATAATATTCTTAACATCTATTATATATATATATATATATTTCTATAACACTATACACGATACATATACTATTCTCTAAGTATTGTCACCACTCTTGATTTCATTCACTATCACTCTTACTTGAATGGTCGCCTGTTTATATTTCTCTGCTATGCTATGATTACTTTTCCACTTCTATTTAGTTCAATTACTCAATTACACTTATTTCTATTTCACTTAAAATATTCTTAATAGTAAAAATTTATATTAAAAACGTTTGGTAAGTAAAGTAAAGAATTCAAGAAACCAAACCAATTAAAACAATAAAATTTGGTACTTTCCATACAAGAAGAAAAAAAATAACACAAAAGGCAGTAATAATTCAGGGTTATTAGCTTATAGTTAAGCAGACCTAAACTTTCAAGGAAACAAAGCAGTTCAAGAGTGGCTACACATTAAGAGTTTTTTTCCTATATTGTACAGCGGCAGCTTCTCTGTTTTTCATCAATTGCACATATGCTTAAGAACTTTTTCTTGAAAAGTTAGTTGGGAGAAAGTTTAGCTTTCAGCAGTGCTTTTTTTTTTTTTTTTTTTTTTTAAAGGTGCCGGAACTCACACACATCATACAACCCGCCTTGCCAACCCGCCTTGCCTACAAGTTTCCATCCCCAAAAGGTGCCGGAACTCCGTTCTTGGTGTTCTATGAGAAAAAAATCCCTGGCTTTCAGCATCATTCATGTGGTGGATTTAACTTTAATCAAGTCTATGGATTTATCTTTCTGTTTTTAAAAAATGATCAAAAACTGGAAGTGCCACTCAATGTAAAGGATACTGGGAACTGATAAAAAAGAATTAATCATGATCAGCAAGGACACAGCCCTTTTCATTCTACCATTTGTTGCATAAATCTGGCTTTTTACATTTAGGCTTATTTTTTCCGTCTCCGAAACAGAATAGCTTTATATCAATAAAACCTTCTAGAAGATGAAGGACCAAACATTCCAATGAATATCAAAATTAATACCTATACCTTAAGTTAAACTCTGAAAGCAAGTTCCCTCCAGAAAGCAAGACATCTCCAGTTCTATTTGCATAAAGAATAAACGAAAAAGAACAAAGGCAATTCTCATTTATTTCTCTTTCATTACATACAGTTTCATTTAATATGGTTCCCCAGCCCTCTGTAGAAGCTTCTCATTTAGCACAGATAGTTGCAGGAGCCGGAACAAAGCAAACATTAGGTTCTCTTTCCTCCAGGGGAAGTGCTTTGTGAATGAAATTCCACTTATAGAAAGTCTGGATCCAAGTCATTAAACAATGATGAAATGGAGCTACTGCAGGGACATGGGGCTAGCAGAACACGTTTAAGAATATCTTCCACAGTAGATAAAGAACAGGGAGAAGAGATTTCTGCTGGGAAATGCTTTGATGTAAATGAAATCAGTGGACTTTAACACAACTAATTATATGATCATCTGTTACCATAATCTAGGAGAAACAATCTTTCGTCCATAAAAGAATCACTTAAGGGCAAGGAATTCCATTCCACTCATGATAAAGGGAAAGGCTGTCCTTCAATTGAAGACTTAAGACTTGTGCAGCAAACAGAACTCTTGGCTATAATCTCTCATCAAGAAAGTTTTCCCAATTTGTTTTAAGTTGCATTTTTGGAGACAGGATCTGTATTCTGTGGTTATAAATAATAAACTTACATGAGAGAGATAAAGAAATACCCTGAGATATAATACAAGGGTAACAGCCCTTCTTGACAGTCTACAGATAAGGATAGGGCAAGCTGCAATTTCTTAAGGGAAAGAAAAATGGTGTTTATGCACTTTTGTTGGCTAACAATACTTAGCTATTAAAAAGGAATTAGTAGTAGTATCTAGATCTTTCAGCAGTATTCAACCCCATTGTCTTCTGCATCACCTGCAGATGTTGGGATTGGGGATATTGTTTTATGGTGGTTCCCTTCTTAGCCTAACAGCCATTTCTTCTTGATGTTGAATTCCTTAGAACTCTAAAATGAACTTCCTCGGGATTCAGTGTTCTCCCTACATTATTTAACATTCAATTGAAAGTACTGGGGAAGATCATTTGCTACTTCAGGGTGAATTTTTATCAATATACCTACAATATTGAGTCATTCATCCCAACCCTGGCATAAACCAGAGATGCCACTGAAGTTCTGAATGAAATGAGTATCTAAAACTTATTGGAATTTGAATGGGGGAAAACAAGCTCAGATTAAATCATACAAAGATTCTCCTGAAAGAGTTAGTTTGTGATTTGTGAATCTTAAACAGCACATGGGAACCAGAGCAGGCTTTGCTCAGCTTGGCTAACATAGTAGCTACAACCGTATCTGGATCAAGATAGTAACTCCTGTCCTGATCATTGCCCAACTAGACTATTACAATTTGTTCTATGTAAATTTGCCTTTGGAGATGACCCATAAACCGCAATTGATACAAAACTCCTGATTGATCAATTGCATCAAGCAAGGAAATGCTTCCAAATTTCAAGAGTTTGGGAAGAGTAGCTGATCTCTTTTTACTGTTGCTCCTTTCTGTTTTCATCCCTTCATCAAACCAACAGGAACTGGTGGTTCATACATGCAAAACAAAAAAGGCAATACAGTCTTCTCTCTTTCTGCCTATACAGCTTTGATACAGCTTT